AGCTCAGGAACAGAATATTGATGTCACATCCTTCCTTTCCTGAACCATCAAACTTCCCATAGCTATTTAACAATTGCAATGGTCTACCAATGCGATGATTGGTTTCACATTGGTTTCTCTCTACCATCCATCTGTTTTTGATCTTTCTCAATTCTTCATGATGTTGCTTGACATAGGCTTGTCTGCTTTGACCATGTCTAGCTATTGAGAAGCCCTGTAAAACACCTTTCATTTCTCTAGGATTTGTCTTCTCCTGTCATTTCATTCCTTTCCCAATCCTTTCATGTCCTTCTTTCTTCACATGATTCGGATTACAACGTGGTCCTTTATGCCCTTTCCATTTCTCCATTTTAAACATTGTCTATGCATTCCTTGTACCATCGCTCCCTCAAGACCGATTTCCTCCTCCTCCTCTTTGCTTGTGCACATCATCATACAGATATTTATTCCATTAATGTTTCTCACATCCTTTAACATTCCTATTATAATGTTCTCTATCCCAACTGGTTCTTCCTCCCTAAAACCTATGCTGCCAAGAAAGGTTGTTTGGCTTTCTCAATCATTTCCTTGCAGACCAGCTCCCACCTATTCTAACATTCTGATCCAGATAGGCTTATTTTTCTGGTTTGATCCTACAATTGTTATTTGGCACACTCTTATTTATAAGGTTCATGTTTCCAGCTTTTTATTCCCTGGAATCCTTTGATTTCCTATGATTAGTCACTGTCACTCACAATTGTTGGGTTCATTCATAAACTCTATAGGCTGGTGTATTTGAACTTGTCTATTGAAGGTTGACATCTCCACAATGTTTGTTCTAATCAAGTTCATCACATCACTATGTCCTTGGCTGCTTGTCTTTATCATCCTTTGGAGAAGGTTGTATAGGCTGAAATGTGGACTACTACCAATACCTTCGTTACTCATTATCTACATGATCTGGCTGGAAGGAATAGTGGGGACAGAGATTGGAGTAGATGTAGATTGGTCAACTCTATTTCCATGGAGGGCAGGAAACCCCTCATATGATGTGAAAGAGACTCAGATGGAGGCACGGAAAGGTCTGTCTGCACCCCCATCATAGCAGTGAAGCATAGTGCAGTGGCATATGTCCAAGACGGAGTAGGAAACAATAGCTACCAAGCCTCAGAGTAAGAAATATTGTTAACTGTTAATTGTGAAATGGTGTACCTACTTCTCCTCTACCCACTTGAAGCAAGACCTAAAGTAAGAGGGGTGGGAACCACTACAATTAACACAGTGAGGGTCCAGTTTGCACTAGTAGTCATGGTGGTCCTTGCCACCACAACGAGCACACTTCACAGAACCACGACAAGATGTCTTTGGACGACCGAACCACTGGCACTGGAAACATCGGAGAGGGTTAGGAATATATGACCATAACTTACAATTCAAATAACCTGCCTCAACAGTGGAGATGAAAACATCAAACTCAGAACAGAGTATGGCACCATAATACCATCTTGACGAGTGGTGATTCAACAAACTGCTGAAACTCCTCGGCTGGAGAAACCAGCAAGAATCTCTGACTCGGGGATGGTCTTCAAGATCCTCTCAAAGATAACTCCACGTGAAGAATTCAAAGAAGCGTGGGGAGTAACCTCAATGGGTATATCCACAATGGCCTTTGAATTCAAGAGCAGTTCACAGTGCTTTGCTGTGGAGGTTTCAACTAGGATGTCTCCAGAACAGAGCTTTTTAACTGCCTTTGGAGACCCAGCAAGCCCCTCTAATCCCTTCTGTATAAAAAAGGGAGATATTTACCTGAAAAATTTGTCAGAGGGGGAATGCAGGATCAGGAAGTAAGGTACAGGTGATTTAGACTGCTGTTCAGAGTCTTCAGGTCCATGGACGTTTCCCAATAAGCAGAGTTTTTAAATTTTGTTTTATTTAGATTTGGAGGATCCATAATAAAATAGAAAGATTCAGTGCTCACTAACCCCACCCACCATGGAGTCCTATGAGGATCCCCTACAATGTCAAACAAGGACACTGAAGCAATGCCAGGGTTTCGTGAGCACTATACCCAAACACCAGCATTAGTCACGATGCCAGCAACACCCACTGAGAATGCCCAATACTGGTACTCAGTTGACCCTAGCCCAATGGGACTGGCTGATTTACCTTGATGGGGGCCACCCATCTACAGGAATTCAAGGCCAAAGTGGTGTGTTTCAGTGCCCCAGACACCACTCAACCACCAGGATCCTCTCCTCCTCTTCACAGGTCACCACACATGGCAAACATGTGAGTCGATGTTTAGATCCTAGAGGAAGTAACTGAAAATACAGAACCTTCCATGGGAGGTCCCCTGACATCATACATGAATCCACATCAAGGGGTTATAATTAAGAAACTGTAGTTTCCCCCAAAAATCTCAAATATTATTTGTGTAATCTCTAAAACTTTCAAAACACTTTTTAAATGTTTGTTTTTAGTAAAACTTTATATTTTTTCTATTATTTTCTCTTCCCTAGCTCTATGGGGTCTGTAAATTTGACTGACCTTGTATCCACCATAAAAAATTAGGAAATAATTATAAATTGTGTTTTTTTTCATTCCAGAATGACTACAGATTATAACATGAAAACACAATTGTTTAGTCTAAATAGCTTAAATCTCATAAAATTATATTTATATATATTTTTATTATTTTTCATTATATTGACCTTCCAGCCATGCCTGGCTAACAATACAGAAGTTACAATGATGCAGCCCACATGCACTCGTAATACCATATCCAATAATACAAAATTACCTGTCTTGGCTGTGTTTCAGTGGACTAGTATTTTGTAAAATACAGTCACATTTCAATTATTATACATTATATATGTATATACATGAATACTGTTTACAAATATATTTTTAAACTTTACTTTCTTAAAACATAGAACAAAGAAGTAGAGCAAATAATTATCTCTTCTAGTTACGTCTTTGTACTAGTTTGTTGCTTGTCGTAGGTTGCTAAGCCTTATGAAATTTCCCACATGGAGGATGTGAAAAGAAAATGTTTTTTTAGGTTTTATGTAAATATTTTAAATAACCAAAAAATAAAAAAATTACTATATTGATATTATAGAATTCCACTATAATTTATCATGTGTAGTAACTAAGCAGTATTTGGATCCGAAAATATGAAATTTCGAGCTCACTGAAGACTTATCGTTTGAAAGATTGTGTGAAAGGAAGGATCTTACCACAATAACACATCAAAATGGCTGACAAATCCAATAGGGTACATTCTGAGCTAGTGATTCATTATTCATGTCATGTATTGAAGTAAGTGTACATAAAGGAGCATTTCCAAGAATGGAAAGAGGTAAGCGGGGCCACTGTGTTTGATTCAATATGAATGATATCTTAGCATGTAGAAAAGAAATGAGGTTCTTATATTATATTCTAGCTTCTCAATATTGGTAATTTGAATTTCTAATTCGTTCAAAACTATAGACTTTCTATCTGGATCACAAAGATATAATTCAAACCAGTGGTTCATTCAACATACCACATGACACAAAAAATCAATATTTAGCTGTGTTTTTAATATTTACTTTTAAATTAAGAAATTAACTAACTTATAATACTAAATTTTGAATTATAATCTAAAATTTCATACCAAACTTATTGACATATATCCATAAAATAGTAGTTCAATAAAATTTTGAATGCAAGTCAACAAATAGATGACTGGTCCTTTGACACACGTCCCGTTGTGATAGGATTATGTAGATGTTTAGGTAGACAAGCATAATGGAAGCTTTAAAATTTAGAAAACCAGATAAATTATGATAGGTACAGAACATTGTTTGTTTTGTGTGTATTATTATTCTGTATTCTTAGGGGCATTATCTAATTAAATAAATATTTAATGTATTTGTACCATAAGTCTAAAAAAGTAGGCTTAAGCCTATTCAGCAACTGACAGCAAAAAAAAAAACAAGAGGTCAGAGCTGAAGTGATATATTTCTTGTTTTTGATGTGCATTCTATATTTTATCTTTAATAAATTGACTAGAATATATCAATCACAATCTCGTTAGGTTAAGTAAGATAATGAAAAATGATAGAAATTCTTCATGAAGTATGCTCATGAACAGATTGTAGGTTATGTATTCAATACAGTAAGATAAGCTACACACTCGTCAAGTGATTTACAACTAATACTGGATTTTTAATTAGAAACAAGTGTAAGGGCAATAAAACAATTAAAATTAGGTATAAATAGATATATACTGTTAGGAGTTTTAAGGTATTTGACATAAAGAAAATGTATTTGGTATTTTTGTATGGTGATTACAAGGTTGGTCAAATCAAAGGATTGCGTGTCGAAATAAGGTAAATACGATAACACACAAAATATCATTTTACTGAAAAAATCATTTGATATTTATTTACCATATTTTAGAGATTACTCAAATGAAATTTGATAACTTTAAGATGAAGAAAGTATTTAAAATCTTGAGAAGAAAATCACTTTGCAATTGGAGTTGTAAACACACTAACTCCCTATATTCATGAACAGATTTTCAGTACAGATACGTAATTAAACAACTAAGTTTTTGTGTACAAAATACTACTAATGTTTAGAGAAATTCATGAAGATATGGTATAAAAACCCTTATGCTTTTGTATTTTTTATTATGTTTACTATAGGGTTACAAGATCAGCTATACCAATCAAGTCTGAATGTAAGTGTTGAGCCAGTGTCAAGAAACTTGCGTTTTAGGTGATGTCTGTACTTACCACATGTTCTCTCTAACCCTGATTCAATCTCTCTTTGAAATTCAGTTTCTGTTGTCAGGTTCACAACATTATAGAATGAACTATCCTGATTCTCATCATCACTGTAACTGAACTTTGAAACAACTTGTAGTAGATCATCAGGCTGTTCCATTTTCACTTGAACAGACATGTTCTAAAATCAAACAAAGCTTGAAAGGGTTAACAGAAATAACAACTAATGTTAATATTACATACAGTCTCCCCAGTTCACTAACTTAAAATATGATGATGTGATTAATAAACCTAACATTTCAAATTTAGTTATGTAGGTAAGCAGTCCTAAGCTATATAAATACTACATATTTTATGTCTGATTCTGTAGTCAAACAAAAAATTGACATACAGCACATTGATACAAGAAAAACTCAACATTGACTTTCTTATTTATCCAAACTGAAAATAAAAATATTAAACTTCATGTTGATATTCTACTGCAGCAAAGCATCAGAGATATCTGCAGAAAACGTTGGGTAATACACGGTGAGATAAAAGTGGATAAGCAAATACATAACAAATATTGTCTTTATCAAACCAGGTTAAAACTAAAAGCTATAACCAGTAAAAAGCCAAAAATCATATTTAATTTTGACAGTGTCACCATCATTAATGTCTAAGGCAAACTTTGGGATAAAATACGTCTTAAAATAGTGCTTTCACTGGCATTCTTATACTTGAAGAAATAGCAGAATTACAGTGCACATGGACCACTGTCCTCAGGCACAATCACTGGACTTCAGTCCTCATAAAGAGACAGTGTAATGGGTTAACATGACCAAAGACAGTGGGCAATGAGTCAGATTGAATGCAGAATTACATTTAGTTCTTTCTATACAATATGTGGAAAGACCAGGTCAGTTAGATATCTTGATAAAAGAGTTAGCACAAAGGATCACACATAGAGTGTAATAAACTTAAAATAAGAACCAAACTTGTGCACTTTGAAATAGGTCAACTCACATAACAATCAATTCACAAAGGAATTAAGGCTGACAATTCCTCATGAAACCTATGTAATTATACAGGAAGTAAATGATATCACTTTTCAAGTGGAAACAAACTTTGATGAAAACCAAGAAAAAAGTTAAAATAGTAAAGTAATTTTTCACTGAAAACTGTCAGAGTGAAGTAAAAAAGAAAAATATTAACATTTTGTATGAAATTCCAAACAAAAAAAAAAGGAAGAGAGCACAAACAAAAAGTGTAACTG